GTAGACAACATTACTGTCTTCTAGTCACAAACAGACCCTGGAAGGATATGAAGCTTTGTCGGACAAGGACGTAGACGATGGCCCCACTTGAAGGCTTAAGGTTGTTAACATTACCTCTACCTTAACTTTGACATTTCGGCTGAAAAACGTTCATAGAAGTGAAAACGGTGAATGATTCGTATCACCTAACATTACAGCGAATATTTGGTTCTTTTTCAAAAATCCGTACACATTTCTGTGGGCACATATGTTCGTATTGCGGATGTAGAAATGTCAAGTAGCGAATGCCGTTGACATTTTCACTACTGAACGGTTCTGACGAGTACACGGCTGTACGCCGCCATCGTTGACGATCATTTCGCCTGTATAAACATCGGCGCCGACGATGACAACGACGACAACATTCAGACGTTACAAAAACAAACACTAAATCTGTACTAATACATACCTTCATACGATAGCGTTCAGCATAACCAGTAGCATTTTTCACTGGAGCAAATGTTAACTGAGGACTGTGGAAAATGTCGACAGCTAATGGTCGATGAATAGCGGCTGCCGTCTGAAATCCACATATTATAATTTGGATAGGTGTGTAAAATACATAATACTGCGTTAAAGAATGCATATTAAATTTGAAAATCCTTAAAGGCAGCGATTACGATAAATTCAAGAAGGGTTTAGTGTGACGTGGTGGTGCTCAATGGTACGCCAGTAGCGAAAAAAGCAGAAAAATCCGTCAAGAAAACGCAAAACGGGACCCCCTTTTTTGGCCGTTGGTTTTCACTCATGAACAGGTAACAGCTCAGAAAGTGGACGTATGAACGAGTTCACCGCAACGCGTTTGATGGCACCATGCCAAACCACGCTTTAATCGAGATGCTCCATTTGCGCCGCTGCTGGCCACGCAGCTCGTCCAAATCAACAAGTAAACTAGTGGGCGGATCGCTTTTGGGGGCGGAGCGCTTTCGAAGTCCTGCTCAGTACACCTTAGTCGCTCGTACTCGTCAGTACACCTTTCGTTGTGAAAGCGCCACATCTCGCTTCCCTGGCAGCCAAGTAACTGATTCGTGTGGTGCACATGCTTCCCCGATGCGCTCCCTCTTTATCGTAACCGCTTGCTTTAAGGCTGTTACAACATTTGTAGTGAAGAAAAGAGCCTATGATACGAGGAATAAACAACGAGAAGCAAAGTCAGCATCCTTTGAAAGAGATGTCAGGTCGTGGACGCCTTGAAAGCAAGATAGAGGATTGTATTTGGAACAGGTGAGGTGAAAAATTGATGAAAAAGGCCAAAAAGCTGTTTCAGCTCTTAAATCTACCCGCACCCCCCCCCCCTTCCCCAATCTTTCCCTCGCCCGACGCAGTTTTGGTGTTTTGGGCGAAGTCGAAAGACGAACCAAGTTTGAGGCAAGTTACAAACATTTCAAAATGGCCAAACGAGGAGCAGAGATGAGGCCGTGTAAGGGGGGAGATGGGATTATATCGGCCGAAACCTCCTTGACATGTGACTCACTTTTGGTTCCTACTCGAATGTCAGTGAGGAAGGGAACCCAAATCACTTTTTTTATTTTGCGTGCTTATTGGAGACACTCGTTGGCTTTCTGCTCAAGAGAAAAGGTTAATCATGCCATAGATCTGCTTTCTAAGCTAAAGGAATCGTCCATAGAAAATTGGTTGACGTTGGCTTTCTGCTCAAGAGAAAAGGTTAATCATGCCATAAGTCTGCTTTCCAAGCTAAAGGAATCGTCCATAGAAAATTGTTTCATTCCTCTCCTGCATGAATACATTAGTAGAGATCACTAGAGATGGAGCACAAATTTCATACAAGAAAATTTAGGTTTGGAACAGAAACAAACCGACGGAAACTACATTCTGAGGACGGTCGCGGGTAGGTCGGGCGGAGCCAAAGAGCGCACTGAAAGAAGTGCACCTTGGTGCGTTCACGTATTCGCGACGCATTGAAGGAATCAAGTCAGCGTGTTCATTTGGAGAATAGAGACAAAACGATTGATAGAATAGGATGTAGAGGAAGAGTGAAAGTTTTTGACAATGATGGAAAGAGAAGAAAGAGAAAAGTTGAAGCGTTCCCGTCGCCAACATTTGTGACAGATGTACGGCGGGAATTTGAACGCGTAGCAGTCCTTTCGGTTTTTCGAATTTTTTTACCAAAACAAATGCAATTTTTTGTTCTTTTCGTTCTTATCGTGGAGATGGTCTCAAGCCAGTGATTTATGGATTGAATAGTATCAGGATTCCACCGTGGACGATTCCTTCAAGCACGATAACCTAAAGTCAAGAAGGCCAAAATCTGTTATGTATTGATTGAGACCGAGCCTCTGGTTTCATTGTGTCGAGTTTTTCATAGCTAACATGGTTGCTACTAGCTACTTCAGCTTCAAAAATTATCTCCTCTTGACTGGTTCATTCAATTCCACAACTGAGCTTAATGACTCTCTGGAGAGTCATTTCGCATGCTACTTGGAAATGACCGTTGGTCAGAGCAATAAACTCGACCTTCGGGTTGCCGAGTAGTACGTAATGAGTTCCACGAGCAACGAGACCATTGCCATCACCCGGCTCATCAAGGGCCTCATCAACTCCCCAATGATCATCGGCGAAGCAGCGTCGATGTAGCTGAAAAAAAAACAAATTCAAAAATTGCTATAAAAAACGCCATCGCATGCATACCATGAGTTCCAGCCCCCCGTCGACCGCCGTGGCACCCTCAGCTCGATCCGTCAGCACAGTCAACTGAAGCTTGTCATCCTGGAAGGGAGAAAATCAATCAATCGAACGTATCGATCGTTTTCAATCTAGAAAACAGTATCCATCCCTCACCTTTATGAACACCCTATTAGTTACTGGATAATAATTACCAGAAACCGGTTCCGAGTCCACATATTTGTACGAGGGGTTGAATTTCTTCCTTAAAAAACGAAATAAATACGTAAGCGAATCCGCCTGGCCTCACTAATTCAAGGTGAGCTCACTGTCGTCTCATCATCTGACGTCCATTGGAATCCGTGTAGAAGACGTCGGCGTTCTTGATGTCAGTTATGTAACGGGTTATGACTTCCTTCGTTATGGGATTTCTGAATGAGATGTCGTTAATCGACTATGCATATTTTCTTGCAGATGCGATAGCGAACAATCAATAATTAATATATTGCATGATTTGTGAAGTGATTACGTTAATAATAAATGAGCCTGGCTAGCACTCCTAGAATGGCCGGCGTGGGACATGCGACTAAACCCGGTTAGAGCTTTAGGCAGGGTTACCCATTGCTATGGGCTAACTTCGAGGTAAAGTAGGTGTGCACTGCGATCCTACACTTTCGAAGAGGGATAGAGGGGGTTTTCGTGACATCTACTGACCGGGATCTGCTGTGATAGCCCTACTTTACCTTAAACCTATAGATGTGGTCGAAAGTTAGGAAGCCTCTATCTGCGCGGCAAGTCAATCACGAACCGATCTCAAATTCATGTATTTTAAATAAAATTAAGTGTAGAAAACGATGTTTAACACGATTTTCCAAGATCGGAACCACTTAAAAATTAAACAAAAAACTGATCGAAAGCACAATATCATGATTGAAAAACACGCTTTTTTTCTGAAAAATAGCGCATCAATAATTTGGAAAGCCACATTTGCGAAGTGAATTTAGTCAATGGCTATCAAATCCACCTAGGAAATCATTAAATCGTTGAATACTGTAAAATAGTTCCATGATGGCATCGTTATTTACTTACACTGCGTCGGCTAGAACATTAGTTTTCCAATTCCTAAATCAAACCCTACACTTTGTGAAACAAATCTAACTGCTCGGTGGAATTGGTCTCTTCATGACAGTGATACTGTCTGAATTTAGTAGCAACAATGACAAGCTAGACTTGCATCGAATCACAAGATCATAATGTTCCCTCCTGGGCTTCCAAACCGTACCCCTCCACGAGAAAAATTAGCCGCCAGGTCCGATTTTAGTGGTGCAACCGCACAGCAGACACCCTACCACACCACAGCAGTCGCTCCCTTAGGCCGCACGCATAGTCGGTCGTACGACAGCAACGATCGCAAGTGTCGCACAGCATTAGGTGCGTATCGATCGTAAGTGTCGCACGATCAATACGCAGCTACTATTCCACACTACAATGGGACTTTCGAAATACGATCACGCGCAGTCACGTGTTGTCTGGGTTAGCATTGGGTGACCGCGTCGCCTTCCATTTGCGACCGCGGTTTATGCGACACTTGCGGTCGTTGCTGTCGTCCGACCGACTATGCGTGCGGCCTTAGCGCTAGCCTTGCGCGCTGGAGGCTTGCAGCTGCGCTCCGCCGCTAATGCGGGTTACGATATGGGAGCGCCGAAGGGAACATTATAGTCTTGTCATCGGATCAATGTCGTGATAGAAAACCAAGTATGGGCAGTTCTACTTCAGAAGGGAGCATTGTATTTATTCTTCAAACTGTTTTTGCTAAGCCTAGTCGACATCGCTTGAAACTAATAACGGAGAAATCGCCTAGTAGTCCTACCAGTCCTCATCTATGACGCACTTCCACTCTTTCTGTGTCTTGCTTCTGAGCCTTAATTCTGACACGTAAAGCTAGATTTCGCGTTGCCAGAACAATTCACAAAGTTCACAGCTTCATCTCCATGAAAGCAGGGATTTCACTCGAATTTCGACTTCAGAGAAATCTCTCCTATGAGGATAGTGCTTTTTTACATGAGTTCACTTGAAAATCACATGACACCGATAATTAAATACAATGTAATATAAACTAGCGAGCATGGAAGATTAGAAATTATAATGACGAGGAAACCTAGGAAGTTCCCAATTTTTGACTATTGAAATTTCTCGGAACTTTTCTCTTCAACAAATTTCCTGTTTCGTAAAAACATGTTACACATCGTATTCTCCACTTAATTTTACACCAATACAAGGATTTGAGACATTTTGTTTGTTGTTTGTTTCGGCCGCGCTAGTTCAAACACAAAAGTTCTCAAATTTTCGACCGCTACCGCACCTACAATCTCCCAAAGTTTGTCGACAGAGAGGGAAGTATGTTCAAAACTACTGAGGGAGATAGCAAAAAAATTCATAAGATAAATTTGTAAAAAATGCAGTTTCAAAGATCTTGTTCCATTTTTTTTTTTGAGACACAAATATCAGGAACCAGAGGTTTCTTTTATCAATAAGCGACCCTCGTCTCCCCTACCAGTAGTGTACGATTACGCACAGGCGGTTAGTATCCCTATGTGGACTTATAGCAATACCATGGTTCCTATCATAGGTATGGTCATAGAGGATGCACACGCACGTAGCTGCGATTGGTAAGAATGGACTTATTTGCAGCAGGATCCAGTAACGTGATTTCTGGGTGAAAAATACTTCGATTCTTCGGTTTGACTTAATCAGTAAATTCGAGTGCTTGGCACCTTTTTGAGCCTGATGTTGCCGGACACGAGTTAAACGTCGTGCCGGGACATTTTGCATAGGATTACCAAAATCAGTCTCAGCAAACATAAACTAATAGAATGCATTAATAGGTATGCTAAAGATGTCCTTTATAGATTCTAACTGAGAGCTTTCTACGTCAAACAGAGAGTTTTAAGCGTGGGGAAGTGTATTGCCCGAGGCTGGGTAGTTCATTACCTGAAATTATTTATTAAGCCCTGGACGGTTCCTTCCCGCGATTTGCAATTTTGCTATTTATTTTATTGTCGTTGTTTTTCTGAAACGGTTTTTTTTACAATGAGAGTTTTTTTTCGTACTTCACCTTTACGGTGTTTTGCGACGTGATGATTCATGAAAAAAATTGCAGTCGGATTTCAAGGAACTTTAGCCGATGTCAGACTTGCGGTATCGCGCGGTTCGCTGCGTCTGACGGTCCGCGAGCTCGCGGCAGTAAATCACAAATTGGCTGGTACGCAGCGATCGCGGAGTAGCCAATCGCGCGCGCAAGTCTGGAAATTCAGCATATATGATCCTAGTTGTTTATCAGTGATTTGGCCCTCAATCTCTGATTCGGTTCTTTCTAAGCACTTCATCATTTGATGGCTCTCGAGAATTTGTTCAAGTAACTATGTGGGGCCACTGCGAACGTTCTCTCCAGAAGCGGTTAATCCTCAAAAGTAAAGTTTGAATTCTTGTAGTCGGATCAAGGTTCTAGGGAACGCATTTAATCGAGTGAACTTTTTATTCTAATCCTCCGTCTTCACGAAGTGTTCCCTCTCGGGGTCAGTTCTCCAGGATTATCGCACTTTTTAAGTGAAATTCCTGCCTTACCAACTTGTGCAACGCTCCCACAAAGCTTTCTTCATCTTCTTTCTAATAGTGTATTCGTTGAGTTGAGTGGAGCGATTGATCATTCTCAAGGCTGAGAGGGCACTTCAGCGCAAAGTTGGATAGCAGGAAAAGAATTTTGAGAAAAAACACAGGGGCGATTCTTTCTTTTGTCTTGACCCGATAAAAATCGAGGACGACCTTAATCAGTGTCGAGAGGAGCATAAGGTTCAGGTTTTCCACACAGAGCGGTCGGCAGACGGGGTTTGACTCGCGTTTTCTCGATTGTATCAACAAACAAAAAGTTCCCAAATTTTTTGACGCTATGGATGATTTTTTTGAATGTCTGTCTGGCGAGACAGCAGAGCCAGTTTAACGTGCGTTCGCACTATTCCCGACTACGGTTGCATTTATGCTGTTGCGGAAAGAGGGGGTCGCACTCTGGCTGAGTGGGATTGGCAATTTGTTGAGTGAATGGTGGACGACTTAGATTGGTTTTCGAGGGATTTGGTGGATGTGATTCGGCGCACAGCGTGAGGTAGGATAGGTGGGAGGTTGCGAGAAGAAAGATTCATCAGTTTCCATTTACACCCCCCCCCTCCACCGCGTCGCCGTTTTGGAGGAAAAAGTGGGCGGAGTTGGGCTGTGTCGACTGATCTCAAAATCTAGTACTATATGAACAGCTGTGATGGTGAGGGTGGTGGTCGGGTTAGGAAGAAAGGTGGTTTGGGGGAAGCTCCTGAGCTTCTTTGTGGTGTGTTGAGGAGTCGATGAAATCCTGAAGGAGGGTTGCAAAAATCTGATAAGTGCCCGAACGTCACGGTTGACCCTGAGCAGAACGCTTCACTCGCTTTCCATTCTACAACTTTTTATAATTTGTTCTTCTTTGCTTTTTGTTTTTTTGTAGCATGGAATCAGTTTCCAAAATAAAAAGGTTCAAGAAAATTCGAATTTTTGGATGTGAGAACTGATATTAACGCTGAAACTCAAGATGCTATTTTGATTAAGTAAACATTCAGGAAAGCATTAACTTTCGAATAATTCGCAATTTCTAAACCTTGTTTCATCATCACACAACCTCAATTTGAGATGAATATTTACCCCCGGAAGGTAGAAGTACGCATTTCATTGGAAAATAGCTTTTTCCGTAGCATAAGTTCCGAGCTTCATGCTAACCTTAGCAGCTGCCAGAAAGCTAAATTCTAGCAGACTGAAGATCTGTCTCAGCTTACATTTGGAAGAAGTAATGCTCGCTTCAAATTGATGCCGCTCCCTTCTTCGCCGTATTCGAGCAAAAACGCGCTCCCGCAATAACAGCAAAGACGAAGCAGAATTTTCATTTTTTTACTTTATTAAAGGTATTTTCCTTTGTTAGGGCATTTGAGGGATGTATCGAGAGTCCCGTACAAACATCGTTCAGATGTGACAAGCTTTTTATAATTGATGACATTGGGCACATGTGGAACACAGAACAGTTGGCGTCTTTTCCTAACGGCCTTCTGATACAAAAAAGGTGATAAGTTCGATTCTCAATTTTTGTTTTTCCAGTGACGTTGTCAAGATTTGTGCAAAATGGAGGTTGCTGAAATGATTCATATTTCATTATAGGGCGGCAGTACCGTCAAAGGCTTGATAAAAAATTGATCGTGAAAAAAATGTGTACACCAAAACGCTCCACGTGATGTCACATCTTTACCCTAGCTTTCAATAAAGTCTATTTTAGGGTTACTGACGGTCCTAATCATGAATATGGTACTAATTATTCATGCTAACTCCATTTTGCGCGAATTTTGAAACGTCACGAAATGCAAAATTTGTCACCACGAGGAATCGAACTAGGGACCCTCTTTTCTGGTATTCAGGCCATTTAGGAAGAACGGGCTATGGTTGTGGGTGGTTCCGCAGGTAGCCTAGTATATGCCCAGAACGTTTTTAAAAAGCTACGGCGGACCTGTCGAGATCCTTGTATGAGCAGGAATGTATTTTTTTGAAAAAGTATAAACTGGTGGGCGAGGAATATCATCGGCCTCAAACGAGTGATTGGCGGAAGGATTCACTAAACGCAAGTGGGACATGGAGAACGTTTCAGTTCCGCCTATGTAGGGTATGAGGCTGCGGCGTAGTTGAAGCACTGAGTGTTCCATTGGATGTAGGCTTAGGTTAGGTCTACGCTTACACATTAGCTTATGCTTGAGCCTAGGGCTTAGGCTTGCTGCGAGCAAACCAGAGGCGTTTTTTCAAGGTGCCCTGACTAGAAGAGGAGAACCGATATATACCCCGGTTACGATCGTGCCGAGAAAGCCTTTCCATCAATTATTCAACCACATCAGCTCTGTCTCGCAATGACACGAGCTTTCTATGAGTTCTTCTAGCAATGTTCTGTAAGTTTCTATTCTGCACCAGAATCTGAGCGCTCATTCTCTCATGCCAATGAAGCTTATCATGCTATTTGTGAGGTGTCCTAGCACACTCTTCGAGTATACCCCGGGAAAACGTTGCGATTGAAATAACCGACAGCAACTAATTATGTACCTTTGTAATATAAGAACTGTTGTCGAAATGCGTTCGTCACCTTCGTTGTCTTGTCCGTGATCGACGACACCAGGCCGTTTTCATCAAATGACAGCAAAATGCCCTGAACGCTTCGGATTATTGAATTTGGAGAACATTTTGTTGACCGAACCCCTGGTCTTGTGACAGACACAAGAAATGGCTGTAGAAATTCAAGTTGCTATCAAAACTAACTAAACTGAAGCTAATTTGGGTCACTTTGTTAATACTTACCTCGTTCTCAATGGACACCGGTTGCTCAGCTCGTTTTTCTGCTCCCACTCTCGTAGCGAACTGTGGAGTTATGGCACGCCTGGAATCCAATAAGCTGATTGAGAGCTGTGCTTTTGACCAAGACATGGCCTTATGATGGGATTTGAACATGTAACTGAAAGGTTTGGCGGAAGTGGTGTAGTGGCAAGTGGCACGCTTACCACGCGAGCGGTCCGGGGATCAAATCCTGGGTCGTGAGTCGCCCGGGCCAACCAAGCCTTCCATCCCTCCGGGGTCGGTTAATTGGTACCAGACTTGTCTGGGAGGATAAAAACACTGACTTGTACATCGGCTGGCCCCGCAAGTCATTGTATAGGCCACATCGCATTCAAACGCCACTACGAATGTACAAATGGAAGTAGAATGCGTGCCGCATCCCAAAAAGGGATTGATCAACGGCAAATGCTTTATCCTTTTATCCTTTAGATGGCACAAGGATGCTACGCTGATCGCAAAAAAAATCGGACCCAGAGGGTCTACCTTGCCGTGCAATAGTGCTACCATTACACCACCACGGCTGTTTCGGTAATAAAAACAAGTCGGCAAGAGAACAAAAAAGCGACGTGATCGAGTTTTGAACCCACAAAAGAAATATGGACTGCGGGTTCATGTTAGATTATATGATGCATGTCAGATGTCAGAATCTAGTGAGTCTTACTAACATATCCATACCATTTTTATACTTCTAACAATAACGATATTGTGTATCCTCGGAAGAATGAACGCGAAACCCCTTTTCTGCGGGAGCCTCAGGTCCACTGATGACCAAGAGTGGACCAGGGGTTCCACAGGGTGAATAACGGTCGAGGAATTCCTCGACCATCGCTCTCTACTGTGCGAGAGTAGTGCCGAGAGTGAATGTACGCGCGGAGAGCACAGACGGCTCGCGGGTGGCGAGAGTGAATATCCGCGCGGAGAACGTAAAGGATCAGGCGAAAATCCTCGACGTGCCGTTGAGGAATCCTCAAGCGATATTCACCCTGGGTTCCGCAACTAAAAATTTTCGCTCTGCAAAAAGTCACTTTCCGGCAAAAACGCGCTCTCACATCACCGCGCGACGCAACTGCAAGCAGAATCGATTCCATTTTTCGGCTCTGCTTACCCTTTACTGCCCCAGTCCCCGAAAATTGAGCAGGATTTTTATGGAAATTTGTCCACAACTATGCATTTTGCTAGACAGCTGCGCCGGGGGTAGTTCGGCCCTTGAAAACACGAATATCAGTTCCGTTTATTGCGGAAACGACTAGCGCCCTGACCACAAGCGCTCGCCCCAAATGGCTTCAGAACACACTGTACCGCGAAATTTGCTGAAAAGTTGTTGCCAGGTGGTTTGGATCAGCAACAGTGAATATCTCATTAACTTGTTTGCAAATTAAGATTTTAGCTTGCGCCGCAGACGTTTGTGCAAACTCAGTATG